TCGTGAGTGTCTGATTGGGGAAAGTGATTGATCTCAGGTTAGGTTGCTCCCACTGTCTGAATTGCAGACTGTAATTGTGCACTCTCTCTCTCTCTCGCGCTCTCTCTTCTTCCACCGGGCAGAAGGGGCGTGTCAAACCCCCCGGCCACATGGGCCCCCCACATGTTATGGGGTAATCGGAGGGACTGTGATAAGTGCTACCCGGTCGGAAAGGATGACATAGCGACGCTAAACCCACATATAGGTAGGCAATGGATTGTCTTCATCTTCTCCCTCCGAGGGTACAGTACATGGACACATGAATTCTGGCATGCGGGAGTCCCCCATCCGAAACAAGAACCACAGGCTACAATGAAAGACCGGGGAAGCATTCCGCACGCCAAGTGGGTGCTTGTTTGGCTGTCCCACTTTCTGGCTCGCAGAACCACATGCAGCAATACCGAGCATGTCACGGGGCATGTCTGTGTGAGAACGAATCGAATCAATGAGAAATGTCCCCCCCATGTCATGCAAGCGAAGACGACGGTCGGTGCAACAGGGCTCCAGCAACTATGAAACCTAAGATCATGCAACCTTCGCGGTCCCCCTTGGCTGTGCGATCAGAGTCAACAAGATCGCCAGGTCTGTGCTCAAATGAAAAGCTGCGCCCAGGTACTGGCTCGATGCAGGTCCCCTCAAGCAACAAAAGTAAACTACAAGAATGACAACACCATGCAAAGAAACATGCATAGACCTCGTCTACGAAGGTTCCCCCCATGTAACACCACAAAAATCCACGGTCAAATTTACATCAACAGACCACAGATATCTCAGACATGGAGGAACCTTTCAGTTCGTAGCAGTGGTCTCTTCTTCCACACAGACAAGAGAAGGGCAGTGCACCCCTCCCCGCGCGCATGCGCGCACTGGTTGTACGTCTTAGGTGTGAAAGCTTTGCTCGATGCAGGCCGGGGTCCCCGAGCAGCGAACCTTATGCTCCTCAGCTCTCTCTCTCTCTCTCTCCCAGGGAGCGTCTGCCGCTTTTTCTCTTTCGCAAGACTAGAGGAAGGGGAGCGACCCCCAACCCCGCGCTCCAGGCGCCCCTCATATGTTATGAGGACGTGTCTCTGCAAAGGCAGCCATTGCAGCTTGGCGCGGCCCAGGCTCTTGGGTAGCTACTGGGTTTTTTTTTTCTCTCTTTCTTTCGCCAGGGCTGTGGTGCAGGGGTTTCCCCTGCTCTCTCTCTCTCTCTCTCCCTCTCCCGCAGCGACGGGCCGGGCCTCGGAGACCGGGGCACGGCCTGAAGCAGAATCTGTGTTGGCCCCGCTGAGCGACCCGCGCCCAGCCCCGGCCTGCCCATCCACGAATCTCCGCGGCTCCCACTTGGCTGAACTCTGGGGCCTCAGGCACCCCAGTGACCTACGACTCGTCCCCACTCTCCTCGAGCTAGGTTCTGGAGGGCATCAGAGCCCATCAATTACCAGCTACCTGTCCACAATCTGCTTCATTGGCAACCAGCCGTGCGCATTTTCTCTTCAAATATTGCTTCTCGACCATTGTCTGTGAATGGCCCGCAGCGAGAGCAGATCACACTTGGCGATTGGCTCAGTTGTAAGTTTGGCCTAGACGGATACACTTACTTCTTGCAGTCAACTCCGGTTTACAAAAGCCTGGCTTGGTGCCACAAGCTCACGTGCAGGAAATCTGTCAAGCATACCATCGTCCAAGCACAACTCGATGAGCTGCTCGAGCTAGCTGCGACGGCCGTCAAGGTCTACAACCTTGACTAATCCTGTGACCAGGATGTACGGACCTTTCGAGCATGACAAGACAAGAACGCTTCTCGCATGATGGACCCGCTCCGAACCTATACTCTTTTAGAGTCATCTACGAAAACCTCCTACTTGCAGGGGCCGAATCACATCCTCGCAGTATAGTGCGACAATCTTGTCGACTTAAACCAGGCTTGAAGCCAGACGGCCCCTTGTGGGCAGGCCATTCATCAAGACAACCATGAAAGATGAAAGTGACTTGTGACGTGTCCAAAAGCCCATGCATGTTAACAACTTCATGGCATCTCGTCTGGCTTCTGCGCGCCCTCCAGGCGCTGGCTTCTGAGTCAAACCCAGACCAACGATGCGAAAGGAAGTGCGTGGGCAAAATTCGCTAGGAGAGTAGCAAAAGCTTACCTCTTGATCGAATCCAAAGCCCTGAGATGAGGTTTGGCTGATTGCGCTCAGAGACCACGGCCACTCGAGCCGTCCACTATGATCACACGCAGGCCGAGCGTGCACTCGACCACTTCCATTACAGCATTGCTGGCAGGTTGCTCTTGTAAGCGGCCGTTTCTTGAAACGTACAAAATCTCGGACTGGCACAGACTGGAGAGTGCACGGAGTATCGGCGAGGTCCCTGTCGGCACCAGTCGGAATCCTACACTTCCTCGTTGGACTGCATGCCTTGGACAATGGACCTCCCGGCCAAGCTTGCTTTGCAGGAGGGTCGTCAACACAATGAAGAGTCATGCCCTTTGCTGTCGACCGATGTCTGCTGACCCTCACGTGATGCGCCTCACCTGCCCTTGCTGACGGGCCGTGCCTGTTCACTCCATCTGCCCCGCCCTCTAGATCAGGTTCTACAGGACCGCAGCCCCAGGCTCCCCATACTGGTTCTGACTGGTTCTGCCCTCGCTGTAGTTTAGCCGCCCAACAACTCTGCGGGGAGCCTATGGCACTAGGCAGGTCCGGAGATCTCGGCACGAGAAAGTAGCTGAAATCATGATCCTAACACCATCAAGACAATGCGTCGTGCCTCGAGCTCACTAGAAATTCGGCTTGGCACCCCACACGGGTTTGGACCAGGTCTGGAATAGCCCGACGGGAGTGCCGCTTAGCTTGCTGTGTCAAATAGTTGTGGCATAATGGAAACGGCTAAGAACCGAAAATCACAACTGTCGCATTAATTCACCAAAAATGCACGGGATGGGCGGTCGCATGGTTCTGCGAATCTCCGCAATCTGCAGGCTCCTTTCAATTTGATTGGGCCTTCCCTGAGACAAAAGCAACATACTAGGCAAGGTTGGCCGCTGAGGCCATCCGGGTCGTGTCACCTCTGTGACTCGCTGGAGGACCATTGAGGTCTGCCGCCTGTGTTATTTTGCAGGATCAAAGAGGACACTGCTGGTTGACTTTCATTCTCAAGAGTGGAGGCTGGGGCCACTAGCTCACAGCGTGACAGCTGGATGGGCTTAAGATGGCCACAGGCACAAGCGTCTCACAACTCATACTTGTTGAGATTGTGCCAGAAGGCACATGAGACGCGAAAAGATGAGCTCCCATGTCTGTGGGAATCGCATTCTTCTGCCACAGCTTGATTCTCGTGGACAGGAGATATGCGGACCCAGGAGATATGCGGACCCGTTAACACGCAGGTGTGTTCAGTAGGGAGCAGGCAGGTGAAGGGAAGATCAATAGTACTCCCAATGCCGAATGTCAAAATGTGCTACCCCTGCTACCCCAAGCATATCTTGAGAGCTATCTTGCTATCAGGTTTGCTTTCCTCCGCCTTGAGTCTGAAGAAGTGCAGCTCAGCTGCAGAGCACGAGCAACAGGTGTCGCGAGCATGCTTGCGAAACCGCCATCTGCCAGGAGGAGCCATTGCAAAAAGCAATGAGCAACCTTTGCCGACTAGACAACCCTTAGATACAAAGAGAGACGCGAAGAAAGAACCAGGCTTGACTATCCTGCATACCACTTGTCTCTCGCTTCTTCTTTCGCGCCATCGATCGTTCTACAGCTATCCTAAAATCACCTCGTCTGCAGCCATGCTTAGTGTTACAATGCACGAGGTGCCATAAAACCGGCGAAAAACCGGCGAAGACGATAAACGAGGCTGTGGCACCCTCAGCCGCTATTTACCAAGGTGGTGCCCCCTATGGTGCCTCTTCACGGCTTCTGCTAAGCTATGGCATGGACAATCGGTACTTGTGCGCCTCGCCGTCATGGTTCGTGCGAGACATGCCTTCAAGGCACTCACAATGCAGGAGGGCACAATGGCAGCTACTGCGACCAAGACACGGCGCGGCGAGCCGAGAAGTGCCCGGCTGGTGGGTGACATGTCAATGACCGGATCCTTTCTTCGCCAAGGCCGGAGCTTTTCGTTCTAGACGACCACTCTGCAACGCAACAGCTGAAGATATGTCGTTCGCTGATGAAACTTCACATCAGTTGATGACAAACCCACGAAAAGGTTTGCATGCACTGACAACCAGCATGACACCAGCTTTGCAGCAGCCTCACCGACGCCGAACCGCCACGCCAGCAACAGCTGGCACTGCTTAGAGTGGTGCTAATTGCCAGTCGAGCTGCAAACTCCAAGCCTGAGCTGCATGCTGTCTGAAGGCACCATTGGGCCATGGCCAGCTTACGCCGACACGCAAGGCCGCAAGACGACAGTGATTGGGGGTGACTATCCGGGCCGAGGTTTCGAGATTCTCATGTCGCGAGCACGAGTCAAGAGCTCTAATTGCTATCGACATCGCTGCCTGAGCGTCCTAAGACATCTAAAATCTAAGCTTGGAGATTGTGGTTTGGCTTTCTGTTGCCTGCTGTGGCACGGTGCTCATTTTCTGCTAACAGCACGTCATTTCCACAGCCCCAAGCTGCGCCTCATTGAAAGGGCTATCGCTTTGGTCTCGTTGTTTTCAAATTGCTCAAGTTGCGTTAAAAGTCCTGGCAGGGGCACACTATTCGGCCTCTTGGGCTCGTCCGTGGGGTCCTCCAAATTCCGCCAGTACATGGGGTAACGGACCTGAAGTTTCAAAACGCTCAAAATCCATGAAGTCGCTCCCAGTAGGGCCACATTATGAGGCTTTTCATCATATTTCCTACCTTGTCTCATTATGCGATGGCGGTTGATCACATGTCTTTTCCCCCGCCCCTCATTAGACGATGACAGTTGATCACATTTCTGAAACCTGTCTCCTCAAAAGGCGATGGCGGTTCATCACATCTCGCAGACCCGTCCCTTAGCAGCATAGGTCCTTCATAGCGTACTTTTCAAGGATTTAAACTTGGTGTGGGCGATGGCGTTGATGGCATTTCTTAAGCCCGCCCCCATCATTAGGCGATGCATTTCTTACCCCCCGCCCAGCCGCTCAATAGGCAATGGCGGTTGATGACATTTCCTAAACCCGCCTGGTCACATGCCTTAAATATGCCATGTCGGCTCAAAGCATTCGTTAAACCCGCGCGCTGCCTTCATGGCGGCTGATAACAGGTCTAAACACTACCCGATGGCACTTGCTCACGCTTCTTAACCTCCCCCCCTCCTCACGAGGCGATGGCGGTTGATGAGCAACAAAGCACCCAAAAGCGCAGAGCAAGAAATAACACAATAAAAAATGCATGAAATAAAAACACATAAAGCACAATCGAAATCAAATGAAACTAAAAAGACAACTCAACGAGAAAGGACGCTCATAAAAAAAAGAAATGACATAAACCAAAGCTCCGACATCCTAAGGCTTTAGCTGCAGCATAGCTGGTAAGGGTAATGGCACATGCTGCTTTGAACGCACCTGCCACAATGCATCCGAAACATCTATTACAGGCCACCGAGGTGCTAAACTGAATAAAGCGGTTGGCATAGGACCTCCGGCTAACCTCACGCTCGAAAGTGTCCAGCGGGGTGCCTCATCACATCCACGCTGCGGTCATCTTAGCAATGCCACGACTGAGCCATCCTTGCGTCCTAGAGGCATAGAGAACTAGGGCAAGTCGATATTTCGCTCGGAGACTTGCGCAGAGTGTCCTGTGCAGGCAAGAAAAGTCAGCACTGCTTCTTTCAGGTTTTAAGGCACAAGCTCTCGGAGGCAGGACTGCAGCCTCGCATGCCGTGCTCGGTGAACAAAGACGCCCAAACCACCTGGAAAGCCAACTGCGATGGAGTTCACATGCAATCGCTTCGGGTCGCGTGACCTAACTCCGCGACACCTTAGCATCTTGGGGGTGCACGTGAGAGATCCGGCCAGACGATGGCAGACACCTGAAAACGGTGCCAGGTGCTCTTGGACATTTGGGTCTGCCAGACTCACCAAATAGTGTTATGCAGCCTCTGCAGGGCGGGCCTCTGAGGGTCTTCGGAGGGCAGTCTGTTGTGGAAGAGGCCGAAGCAGAGGAGTTGCGCTGGAAATCCTGCATTGAGCCGAAGAATTGGAAGAATCCATCCTTACACACATGCGCACATTCATTCATTGATTCATCCACTCATTCACTCATCCATTCATTAACTAATTTGTTGATTCCCGTATGCCTTTGTCTTTCACTCGTTTCCGTCACTTCATTCATTGCATTCACTTCATTCAGTTCATCAACTTCATTCAGTTCATCCAGTTCCTGCATTTCATTACATGTCACTCGATTTTATCCTTCCATTCCATCCCATCCACCCATCCACCACTCTCTCATTCCATTCTTTCCATCCACCCATCCATGCACCCATCCATCCATCCATTCATTCCATTCTGTTCACTTAATTCCATTCAACAATTCACCCGTTCCTTCCTTCCTTGATTCATTTCATTAATTCAATCTCAACTCGAGTCAATTGAATTCAACCTTCATTTCAATTTCATTTCATTTCGAATCGTTTCAGTTCAATTGAACTCAGTTGAAATCATTCCATTCATTCCATTCATTCCATTCATTCCATTCATTCCATTCATTCCATTCATTCCATTCGTTCCATTCATCCACTCATCCCATTCACTCCAGTCCTTTCATTCCTTCCATTGCTTCCATTAATTCCAGTCATCGATTCATTCCATTTGGGGTTATTTCATATCTCTTCCGACCATTGCAGTCATGCACTGGTTCACCGTGCGTCACCGCCTTGGCCTTTGTCCGCTTGCGGGACTTGCGAGGCAACCCGACACTTTGGCTGGACCTCGGCAATTGAAGTGCCCGGGACTTCAAAGGACCAGTGGACCAAGAAACTGAGTAGGCACAAGTTGGAACACAAGAGACTCAAACAACTCACATCGATGCAAGGAGCCGGGTGGATACCTGGCTAATGACATCGAGGTCCGCTTTCTCCAAGCCTTGCCACATTTTAGCAAATTTTAGCATTAGAGACATGCATCTCAACAGACAAGCATACCCGCCCCCTACACTGACACAGGCTACGCGACTTGCACCATGTGAACTGACCGCCGAGGCGAAAGATCGCATTCACCCGAGTGGCAAGACTGGCTCGAAGACTCAGACGAGAAAGGCGATTGCTGCCTGCAAATCACGGCAGGAGCCAGCAAGCACTGAAAACTCGTCACCGGGTCTCAATCTGCGGTGAAAGACGACAACCTGCTCCACGATTGCCCAGGCCTCTCGACACCCAGATCCAAGACCGCCAGCGCCTGGCATCCCAGAGTTCTTTCCGTTCTTTTCAAAGATCACGACCAAAACCAAAACAGAAACGCTCGATCTCAGTCTGAACTCTTCCTGAGCTCGTTTATTGATCGTCTTCTCGGGTCCGATGCCAACAAATTTACGAACTGGACGCACACCAAGACAAAGGTATCAAGCCTCTACTCGCCCTACACAGCCAGGACCAAAGCTTCCAACCTGAAGATATCTGAAGATCCATGACTGACTCGCCAAAAACACTCAAGCCCTTCCAGGCCTTCAATGGCGAATCAGCGAATAACCTGTGTTCATCAATTTGCGCTCGCGATCATGCAGCATGTGCACATATGTGTATGTGATACTGTGTATGTATGTGTCTGTGTGAATATATATATATATATATACATTATTATTTATTTATTTATTTATTTATTGACTTTATTTATTTATGCGAAGCTGGAAGCGGTTCCCTGTACCCGCAAGCACGGTGGACAGGACCCAATCCACCAACAAAGTCGGTGTCTTTAACGGTGTCTTTTCCTTTTGCTGGAAATTGTTTCAGTTTCTTGCGTGCATGCACGGTTGGCCTACGTGTGTGTATGTGTGTGTGTGCTGGTTCTTGGCGCCACATCGTAGATCCTGGTAGAGCCCAGAGCACGCAACCAGTCCATCCAAAGGTGCGAGACTCCCACACATTGTCGCCACATGCTGTCCCCACCTTGCTTTCGGAAAGTCCACACGGGATGTGTGTAGCGCTGTTGCATGTGTGACCTTCAGCTCTTGCAAATTCTTGGAATTCCGGCCACACGGAGCAAGCAGAATGAGGCCGGAGCCAATGTCATCACAGACAGCCTCCGAGCGACACATCCGAGACACACCAGGAATCACTCCCGATGACCCAGCCCCAGCCTCTGATAGAACAAGGTGCTAGCTACGCTGCGAGCCAAAATGCCGGACCAAAGAGTGCACAACAAAAGCAAAGGTAGCCTTCGGTGACCGATATGCACCCGGCCTCTAATTCAATTCTCTGCTACGTTTTTCACGCCGTGATCGTTTGCATGAATCAACCTGGACCCGTCTGAGTGGCTTACTGGCTCGATACTCGCTGGGCGTTCTCAAGCAGGATGTCCTCAGGTCCGAACTGATGCCTCGCTCTGCAAAACCCACGGACCTTTAAGCCCAGGCACTCGTGCCCGTGTTAGCCGCGCAAACTTGTCTGCCGCAGCGGGGTCTCCTGGGAAAGAGAGCAGGGACCGTCAGGTGGCGAGACATAAGCCAAAGGAGCTGAGGACACGAGCGGGCAAAAGAACCCATGCAGAGATCGAGACAGGATGCAAAACCCTAGTCTGCCAAGGTTCCTCGTCAATGAATACAGTACTTTGGCCAAGGCGAGGGAGTCTGTGCTGCTGCGCATGACTGAGACTCAGTGCATCCGGGCCTTGACATCTATCTGGGTGTACAAGCAGGCTCGCGCGGCGATATCTTGGCTGGGGCACATAGACGAAACGGCCAAGTAGCGCAAAAGTCTCCACTCGGTCATACCCAACAGCCGCAAATGCTAAATCTGCATGTCGGCTCCATGCTCGGCAAGCTGCCGAAAGGATGTCTACTTTAAGCATCTTCTTGTCGGCATTCCGCTGTGCCCCAGCATCAGACCTGAGTACCCGGCGCTGCAGCGACTTCAGAAACAGAAGCTCCTGGAAGTAAGTTCAGCGTCCCGTACCTTAGTGAAAATGCAACATGCTTTGAGTGCATCTTTACAAACAGCACCAAGAAAGCAAGTTTCTCACCTCCGAAGCTACACCTTTACGGACATCGGGGAACACAGAAGTACAGGGAAGCACAGCCTTTTTTGCAAGACCGTTTCTGCCCTTGTCACAGCTGGGCTTCTCTGGGCTGACAATGTTGCCACAGCCTTTGGCAAACATATCACTTGGCCGAACGTCCCGGCCCATCGTTGATGGATGAGTGGCTCTCGGCAAGTGGAAACACTCGCACTGGCCAAAGACCTCTCCATTTGTGTAGCCGCCAGCACGGCAGATTGGTATCAACTGCAATGCATCATGATTCTGGCACCCGGCAGAGCTCAAGGCTGACGATACGATTCCACAGAACTTCGATATTTCCGCTCCTTTGCACTCGTACTATTGACTGCAGGGCGCCAGTTGTCCCAAGACGCCTACCTGCTTTCAGTAGGCTTTCTACTGGCAGGTGTGGGAAGCAGCGTCGGTCCACCTCCAACTAGCCAGGATTCCAACAGTCTTTTCTAAAGAGGCAACTACATGCGGAGCCCTCTCTGCTGACACTCTATATGAACAAAGAAAGCACAACAGCCAGCCAACTCCCACAGGAGCATAAACCGATTTATTGTAAGCTTCAAGCGGATTTACTTGGGATCGTCATTCCTGGAGGTGCCGAATCCACACTCACACTGCGAAGATGCAGCTGCCGGTGGTAGGGCAGGCTACCTGAGCAAATTGGACAGCATGGATGGATGGAACTCGTGCCCAAAGGCAAATTTGGACTTACAGAATCTTGGATAAAGATCGCCGAAGTGCCAACCGTATCCACCATAGCCGCCGTAGCCACCACCACCCTTTCCCTTTCCGTACGGCCCCATGCCTCAGCAGTGCAGGAACTTCTTGCCCGGCAGTGGGCTCCAGGTGTGCCGATGTTCGCTGTTGCCCTCGCAGTGCTTCCCCACCTCCAACCATCATGCCGCCTTTCAATCCGCCCATGATGCCTCAGCTCCAAGTCCGCGGCTGCACGACATCTTATATCTCTCAGCTATGGAATCTCTTCGGCTTATGTGCTGGGTCCGATGCATGCAAGGCTACCGCGAGACTAAGTCTTCACTTGCAGCTGAAATGACACATGCAGTGGAAACCGATTGAAACCCTGCCGCCTGCAATCATGGGCCCAAAGCCGCCCTTGCCCATCATGCCTTGGGAACGATTGGACTGGGACGAAAAGCGCAGCTGTCGATTCTTCTGGGGCCAAACTACCACATGTGACATGTACTGCCGAGACGCCCATGGGATTCATGGCTGACATGGGCGCCGTTCCGCCTGTGACGTTGACCGCCTGAAACCTCAGCCACTCATGCGTCGTTTTAATACTTGCAAAACATTCTTGGTACAGAGACAAAAGAGGAACCAGGACAACAATCAGAACACTTGCAGTTCCCGCTCCGAATTTCGAACTATTCTTCCCGAACACCGCTCTGCTTCAAACCCCATTTGCTCCCCGACTTCTGTCTCAACACCGCAGACGAAGGCACCGAGTGCCCCCTTCGAAACAACTTGGCGAAGCCATCACACCGCGCAAACATGCGAAAGGTTGCCCGGCCTCTCGCGGCCCTCGTAAACACCGCGCTTCGCGTGTGCATATGCTACAACTTTTCAACAAGAGGGTAGACACGCACCTGGTAATGCCTCTTAAAAATAAACTTGCTATTGGCACCAGAGATCATCAACTAGACATCAGCTATTGGAGGACGTGGTATATACCGCACAGGTAAGGTGCCCTTCACGACGACAGTTTTTCTTGACTTCTGCAAGACGAGTTGTGACTAGTAACTACTTGGTAGCGACAAAGAGACCATGGGCAGCATGTAAAACTGCAAGTACAAAACACAATTAATTAAAGACTATTATGATGCTTTTGCTAGTGGTCATCATGACCCTCTTTTTCATCAATCTACTACTCCTACTACTGCTACTACTACTACTACTATGCCTCCTCCTCCTCCTGCTGCTGCTCCCGCTCCCGCTCCTGCTGCTGCCACTGCCACAGCCACAGCCACAGCCA